AGTGCGCCACACTCACCTGCTACATAGTAATTGGTTGGTTGATCTCTTCAAGTCTGCACAACATGGGATGCCACGCGGTATTGCGATACCATTGGCGCCGCCCTAACCGGACAAAATCATAAAACAGAAGAGAAAATCTTGAATAGGTACCCACCCATCTATTCACCTATTGTCCATAAAAGTGCGCCTTTTGTGGTAATGGATATGCACAACAATGGGCTGGTTTGGTATTTGCCTGACATCCTTTCAGAAGCACACCAGGTATGTGAGCATGGCTGGTGGGTGTACAGTCTCAAACCCTGTTCAGATGCAGATCTGGAAGTCCCTCAAAATTCTTGAATCAGCTTTGAGGATAGACGACAAGGCTAATACTAACTGGAGGAATCATAAAATGCACTACCGGCCTGCAGAGCACTGTCAACAACTCAAGCCCGGGACTGTGAGTTTATCGCCAGCATGGTTTCAGCAAGGGCACGAGGTGTGAAATCTCTGGATCCATAAACAAAGTCTGAAGGATCTGCATGCAGTCTTCTCAGTTCAAGCTTGAAGTCAGCGCGCAAATGAAGCATGGCACCGCTGGGGCGCAGTGGAGCCTGGAAATGCAGGAGTCATCTGCTTTGATTGGCACCATCCTGAGTATCATACATCCACAACTTTATGAGCAGGGAATGGAGGCACTCTGCCACCTCAAGACAGAAAATGGGTTTGTGGATGATGAGGAAGAATTGTACACAGCGCTGAAGCATTGGACTCCCCCTTTCAGCGCCTTGTCAGTGATTAGCAACCGGTCAACGCTGGTACACCATGACACCAAAGGGTGCAATGAGTGGATTGATGTCCTAGTGCCTTTGGGAGAGAAAGACTCAACTGGAATCATGGATTTCCCAGGTTTAGGCATATCCGTCAAGTACAACCCATCGACAATAGTTGGGGTTGCTGGCAAAGTGATCTCACATGGGGCAGTGTTTGAAGGGGGGGAGAGGGGGTGTATTTCATACTACATGCACAACAAAGTTCATGAGAGGTTAGGAGTTCCAGCAGGCACATGGATGAACACCAGTATATATGATTGCTAATGCCATTACGCCGTGACTGCTGTTGTGGCCAGTGCACCTGCGCCGCCTGGTAAGTTTTCATCTGAATGGAGCTAGTGTCTTTTGGTCAGAATGGCGCTGGCGGCTCTTGGTCAAAATGGCGCAGGTGGCTCTTGGTCAACATGGCGTGAGTGGCTCTTGGTCAACATGGTGCTGGTGCGTCTTAGTCACAAGGTCCGCATGTGTGGGCCCTCAAAAGTCAATGGTCTTTGCTCCACGCCCAGAAGAGATATATCCATGTCCTGTCGCTCAAGTAAAAATTGCCATGGCTCAAGAGTCACCCTCATCAAGATCCATCAGCCCAGATCCATCTTCATCTCCCTCACTACCACCTGGCTGCGCCTCTCTGAAGCCAGGCCAACCATAATGACTTGCAGAGTCACCAGTGCTGGAGTCTCCTGATGCTGCCCAACTCAAGCCCATGGAGGACACAGGAGAAGGTTGGTATTCTGGTTGCTCTTCATCTTCAGGTTGCTCTTCAAAGTAAGGGGCGATGGCGCCCGTGCAGAGCACCCCAGCATCCTGCCAAGGACCTGGGGGTATGGGACCGACGGGCTGCAAGCGAATCTCCCGTTGATGTAGGTGGTCCATCAAAATCTCAATGGCCTCTATGTTGTTTTGGAGCTGGTCTTGTTCCATGTGACCATGAAAAAAGAGGTGTTGGACCCACATCTGTCCGCCATGAACCTTTGCTGCTGCTGTGGCCGCATGCACTGGCAGAACTGGAATGCCAGCCTCATCGTCCTCAACTTCCATGTTGGGTTCACAGTATGGCTAAACAGTAGAAGGTATCAATAAAATTGATGGACGACAGATCAAGTGTGTAATTACCTGTCCCATGGCTTCGATCCACTTACAAAAAGCTCTTTCCTCCTCATCCGAATGCACCTTCGATACCTTTTTCTCATTCTCACCGCTGGTGCCCACAGAATTCCACCAGTCGGCCTCATAGCTCGCCAGAATGGGTGCCTGGTCTTTGGGCCCGTATTGTGCTCTCAATACCACGGGGCTGAGTGGTTTTATAATCCATCTTGCAGGATTTGTTGCATTCAATAAAGCAGGTGCCCATGGCAGTAGGTCAAGTACTCCACCCAAGCAGTACGCTTTCCCAACTTCCATGCAAAGACGGTTCTATAGATAGATTAAGATAGATCAAGATAGATGAACAGTGAACATGAGAAGGACGAACAGTTTCATGCAGGATCCTTAATTTCCACCACTCTTGCCTCTCCTTGTCATCAATCCAGTTCACTTTGTCATCGGAGTATGCACTCCATGCTGCCTTGCATCGGGAGAAGAAGTGGTAGACGCGCCATTCCATTGCAGTGTCCATGATTCAAGTTGAGATTGGCCAGACAAAAATGAACAAGCTGGTCATGTGGTTTGGGCATGTGATGGCCCACAGCTCTGCATTGCTCCCCCGCAATATGTTGCACTGCAGTCTGTCACACCCACAGAGTAGGTTGCGCCTGCGCAGTATGTTGCGCCAGTAGTGTTCGCAAGTTCAGTTCAGTCCGGTTTTTTGCCCCCAAAACGCGCAACCGCGGACCGCAACCGGTCTAGGACTGACCCAGATATTGAGGGAACCGAACCGAACCACCTAGGACCGGTCTATTTCGGTCTATGGAGCCGGTTCAGACCGATCCAGACCGGTTTTTTTGCGTATAATTTATTATACCAATATAAACCATTTGTATCTTGACTATTATTACTCTGAAAAATAAACGGGTTATATGAAATAGTAAAGCATGTAAATACCCATTATTCTACCAATTTTGAAGAGATTTAATGAAGATTTGACATAGCTATGACTGAAACCGAATTACATCTTGTAGAGACTCGGGTAAAATATGGATTTGGTTATATCTTTTTCAATTCTTAACCGTTTTTGATGAAACAAAAACCCAATAAAAGGTAATAAACGTGGTTACAAGGGTATGTAACGCACGTGACCGTTTAACCGGTTGCAACCGATCAAAACCGGTCTTTGAACGGTTTTAATATATTTTCGAAATGAGGCAACCGGCAACCGGACCAACCCCAAATTGGGGCAACTGCAACCGAAAAAAAGACCGGACCATGGTCCGGTTCAGTTCGGTCCACCGGTTTTTTGCGGTCCTATGGACTGAACCTTTAAACACTATGCGCCAGTGTTTCGGTCACACAGTTCATTGCGCCCACATGGTGCATTGTGCCCACACAGTATGTTGCACCTGGTTGCTTTTGTATGAATTACATGACAAGCGGCTTATAATAATGGTTGGACAATTATGTTGCGCCGCAGTCCATCGCGCCCACAGAGTACGTCGCACCCGCACAGTATGTTGCACCGGTGTTTCAGTCACACAGTTCACTGCGCCCACACAGCACATTTTGCCCATGCAGTACGTTGCACCTGGTTGCTTTTGTATGAATTACATGACAAGCGGCTTATAATAATGGTTGGACAATTGAAACCTGTTATCCACATCGATGGCAAGCATATTCCACAGATCCTTCTGATGTTCAGCATAGCAAACATGCCCAGGCTTTGCTTGGTCTGCTGCCATTTTTTGCCATGCACTCCACTTGTTCACCTGGTACAAGAAGTATCTTGTCACCCATTCCATCTCATGTGACAACAGGTTGAATTCTTCTCTTCATCTGTGAAACCTGGCCCTGGCCCGAAGCCAATTGATGCGATGAACTAGAAAGGTAATCAATAATATACTACTGAGGAGGGTATAGGGATGCTTTACACTCTACCATCCGTTCGTTGTCTTGCATATCGCCTGCCAAGTTGGAACTCCAAAACCAGGCAGGCTTGGCCCTACTTTGCCCTCGCGCATTCGGGTCTGCTACTGCAGTATTTGCCTTCATTTCCTCCTTCAAGAGTGGTTTATATTGGCACCCTATCATCTTTTCTGGGTCACCCAATCAAAGCTTTCTTCCATATTCAAAAGACAGATTCGCCAGTGATACTCGGATGCCTTGAAGAGCATCGTTTGCTTGCCCTTGGTGCAACTGATATTCTTTGGACAAAAGATGTTGTAATCCATGGGCCTGAAGGTGTTCTTCTCCCATGGCTGACAGCAAGGCTAGTTTCATATGTTCAACAGCTTCAGCCGCAGCAAGCGCTGCTGCCTGGGCTTGTGCAACCTTTGTGGCGGCGACTGCCATCATATCAGGCTCGGTGCCACTGAGATTTGACTCCACCAGATCATCCTCCATCTGCAGAACATCGTCGATATCAAACTCTTCCTGAAGCAACATCTGATTTTCATTTAATGCCAGGTTCCATGCTAAAAAGGTCATTCCCATCTTGTTGAAAGCATCGATTCTCACTCTTAACCTTTCCCTCCTCTTCACAATGTCAACTTTCTGCAGGATAGTTGGTTTTTTACCAGTATGCCAAATGAGAAACCTTAGTTCAATCCTGTTTTAATGTAAGCCAATCCTCGTACCATACATTGGCTCTGTCAGGGTCTTACTGTCTCTCCTCAATTTTGAGTCCTGTTGCAATCCAAGATGTTTGACCTGTATTGCCCATTGAAAGGCACTCCTGTTCCATCAGCTTTAATTGGACTTGAGTGGTGGTGAGGGGAGCTGTAGCATTGGTCAGTCTGGGTAAAATGGCATGAGCGCCAGGGGTGCTGGCACGGCGCCCATGAGCGCCAGGAATCCTGGAACAGCGCCCTGAATTTGAGGGCCACACTCTTCCTGGGACAGCACCTTCAATTTGGGCGCCACACTCTTGGCAGACCAGAGCCAGTTCCACCAAAGTTGCATAGTAAGAGCTTACCTGGACAATTGGGTGGATTTCTTGGTGCCATAATATCCATCGCCTTCAAATTCCCTTGCGCCCGATCACTCTCAGCGGCACGAATCTCTGCCTGCCATGTGTGGTTGTGTTGTCCTGCCGAACTATTTAGTTGGTCAAAGTAGTCTTTGCTGTCCACCAGGCCAATGACAGCCTTCCTGTACTTGGCAATGACTGAGGAGACAATGTTGACCATTTTATTCCAGTTTCTGTCATTCATATGGTCGTCCAAGACCTTGGCCCGATGGGCGAGGGTGGCTGTGTGGGTGCTCCTCAAGATATCATTGAGCTGCACCCAAAGGCTTTCCAATATTTCCCCATCTACCATTCCAGCTCCAGGAATAAATGACGTCGCCAACCGGAAGAGGCACTCATCCTGATGACCATGGACATGAAATAAACCAATGCCCATGATCAAATTAGCCTTCTCAGAGATGGAAAGATTTGGATTGTTAGCAATCCTGTCCCAGAGATTAACATGATACTGACACATCACATCATATATGATCATGATATCATCCAAACCATTCAGTCCCATGTTCTTTATCGCCTCACAAAGAGCATAGTTGATGTTCAGCTGGCGCTCGCCCTTCTGAAAGTCAACAACGCTGCCTGGAATGAAGGCGCCTGATCAGGGGCAGGGAAATGCTGCAATGCCAGTTGCATCACAGCCTGCATGATTCTGACTTGCATTGTTGATGGCCTGGTGGTTGCTGCATGTTGATTTGACCTACAACCATATGAGTCAGGTTTTGAGAGGGCAGTGGGCGAAGTGGGATTCTGTGCCCCAAAGCATCAAACGCTACATGGCGCAACAACCTCTAGCGGCAGGACGGATGCACCACATATGGGAAGGCAGTCCAACTCACCTGGCAAGTAACAGTGGGCTGCACCAGGTACTTCTTGTAAGCCTCCTTCTCTGTCGTCATTCCTTCCCCGCTGGTCAGCCATACATCATCCATGGCATTTTGTTGCTTCAGGTGATCAGCTGAGAAGTTACCATCAACACAAAGAAATTGTGTGAAGACCTCGCTGCCAATGGGAATGAGTATGTGAACAAAGGGCAGTTCATGCTTACGGATGTGGGTCCTCTTTCCAGTTCATTGGCAAGTTAACACCTGGCTGGGCACAAGATGCACAACCATATGCCATTTCTCCAGCCTTTGGCATTCTAGGCTCGTGTCCAAAACCAAAGCATTTTTTAAGTTCCAAATTGCGCCATTGCCGACTAACTCTTCTGAATTTGTGATACCTGTCCTATGGTAATGGGTGAGACAGCATTCAAGTATATCAACCAAAGCAATGTGTACCAGAACCGACTTCGGGAAGGCTGGAGAAGTCAGGCGCCGCAGCTTGAGATAGTATTGATATGCGGAAGTTTTGCAGGTAAGATTGGACAACCGAAAATCATCCAGTACCTTGAAAGTGAACACTGTTTTAACATTTTGAAAGCTCGTTGGAAATAACTGTGAAGTCAACAGCTGCTCATCGGTGGGCGCAGCTCCTGGACAAGTGCATAAATGCAAAGGAAGATGGTGAATTCTGTTTGTTTCAATGACAAGCACAAAGGGGTTGCCCAGAGAATCCTCTGTATCAGGTTGAGGAGCTGTACCGAAACCCTTTGTTCTTTTGTAGTGTTCCTGGGTATTGTTGTCAGCTTCTTCGGTTGCGCCATTGTCCCCATCCTGATCAGATGGTTCAGTCTTGATGTCTTCGCCATCATCGCCGACATCTGCATCAGCCTCCATGGACTCATCTTCCCCGAGAAGGTCATCAGACACTGCTTGAACTCAAATATCAAGATCAATTGGGATGTGTGCAGGCACCGCCCATGTTTGGCCAACAGGGCTGGTTGGCACTGCTGGTCCTGCAACTTCTGCAGCCTCAAAACTTGCATCCTGCCTGTCATTTTCTTGTTCCTTGAACTCCGCAAAGTTGGGACAAGGTGATCCATTATGGCCCAAATTCAACACCAAGCCTGTCTCCCAGAGACCAGCAGTATGGAAATAGTGGCCTTTCCAGTATTGGACCTGATGGGTATGAAGCCTCCTGTGAGTCTGGCAGCAACAGGTGCAACAATATACAGGCTGCAAGGCGCAATCCAGGCATCGGAACTTGGATGCCATTTTGCCACAATCCACACAAACCATCCCAGGAGGCGGGGCCTCTGTGTCAAGAGTTACCTCAAGATGCTTGTCCCTGCGGGCAACCTATTCTCTCAGATAATTGTTCTGGCTCTGGGATCACCAATAAGCAGAAGTTGGAAAGAACAGAGAGATCCACCCACCTTGCCTGATGTTCTCTGGTGGAAAGGGACAGCAGACTCATCAATGACGATTGCGTCTACATCGTGATCGAATTGGGCTTGCTGGCTAGGCTAAGCTGGCACTGATGGTGCATGCAACAGCGAATCAGGAGTAAAGTATTTGATCTTCTGGACGTATCCCCTGGTTGTCTTCTTGTATTTCCCTGTATAGAATACAGGTCCAGGAGGCCATTTGGATTGGTATCTATGCATGGTGACTAGTGGATGTGTTTATGAGTGAAAGTAATGGTCGAAGCAAGGACAGTGAGGCAATTGCCATGCGCTGAATGTGGCACAGGCACCATCAACATGCACTCTGCACCCAAGACGGCACATCAACAATGCAGGGCAACTGTCAAACGATAATTGGGCACAATCACATAAAAGGTATGGTGCAGATAAAAACACATGATCATTCGTATGTTGTGCAGACAAATGATGTCCAGGCGCTACCACAAATTTAAAAGCTGACTTTGTTCGTCCATACACCTACTTGTGTTACAACCTGACTCAATATCTGCACTGTGTTGTTGGCATCGGCACCCAGCTGTGTGCCTGTGGCCACTTGTCTTACAACCTGACATGAATGGTGAAACAAATTATGGCACCTGTCAGATTGGATCAAAGAAAACTTGAATCAAACAGTTTTGGAGGTTCTTATCTGCAGAGGTGCAGCACCGTTGGTTCGGCATCAAAGGCCATCCATAGAAGATTGGGTTGTGGAAAGCAAGAGGGCATGTTCTAAATCCCCCATCTGCTCAGCAACTCAACCCAATGTGGCATAGCATAGCATTAGTGAGGAAGGACTAGCCAGATGACGAAATTATCACACCGGTCTCAAGCGATGTTTGCTTGTTCACAATATACAACAAGAAAACTTCACCTTGAGATAGAAGCAAAGCCAGCAATTGGGTTGCGTCACCAAGCATTTTCGTAGAAGGAGAGTGGATATTCTAAATCCCCCAATGCAGCACAGGGACTAGCAGAGGATGAAAATATCACAGCTGTCAAAAGCATGCTTGGTTATTTGCAGTGTAAGGAGAGAAAACTACACCTTGGGTTAAATTTCCTTGAGACGAGCAATGCCAGCAATTGGGGCACAGCCATACTCATGGTCACAAAAAGTAACAGGGCATGTGAGTTGGTGTGTCATGAAGTTGATGGTGGTTGAAAATATTTGAGTCTATATACCCACCCCATCTTCGTTTTTATCCACTACATGAAGGAGAATAAGACTTCTCGCACTCAATATGACACTCCTACCAAAAACTGATTCATCGGCGCTGTCGAAGCTGGGAAATCTGTTCATGAAGCAGGCAGTATGTTTGGAATCACAAAGTCCTCAGCAGACCGCATCTGGAAGAGATATGAAACCAGTGGAAACTCACAGAAATTGCGATGCTCAGGTCGTCCAAAGGAGGTTTCCGATCGAACCAAACGGCTTGTGGTCTGAACTGCAGTAACCAACCATAGAAAGCCCTTCCGCAAGATAGCAAATGCGACATCACCCAAAATCAGCGAGAGTACAGTCCAAAACATCTTAGCTGAGGAAGGATACCACAGACGAGTTGCACGAAAGGTCCCATACCTTACAAAGAGGCACAAGGTTGATTGTGTGCGGTGGGCGCGAATGTACAAGGGGTTTACAGAGATTGACTGGGCGAAAGTCATTTGGTCTGATGAGTGCTATATTTATATTGGAGACAACCATGGCAAAATCTACGTAACACGACACGCTGACGAGGTACTGAATGAAGATTGCCTTGTCCCGACATTCAAGCAGTCCTCCATGTGTGTTATGGTCTAGGCCTGTATCATGAAGGGGAGAAAGGCAGGGCATTCAGTAGCTGCGCTATGGAACCATAAAAGTACAACATGGACAATTGTCCTATGGGTCATAGGGCTACCCAAATGGGCCCAATGCTCTGGACGTCACTATGGGGCCATGGGTGGGCCCAGTTCCTTAAGAATACCTAAGGGTGAATGTTGGGCCCAAATGTCAGGCCAAACCAAATCCTGCCAAATAGGCATTTGGCCCAGTTATGGTCCTTTAAGTGGGTTAACTTAGCCTAAGGATAGTTGTTGGGCCCAATATTGAGAGTCCCAATGGCTGTATGATGGGCCCAAAGTGTTGGGAAGCTGAAGAATTTTACCCGGTTTTTTTGCACCAGACTCCCAGTATTTTAGCGAAACTTGCAGTGATTCGGAACTTGCGGCAGGTCGGAACTTTCAGGGGTTGAGCGGAACTTTTGGGTTGAGCGGAACTTTTGGGTTGAGTGGAACTTTCAGTTTACAGAACATCTGAAAAGGACTCTGGATGTCTGCATAAATGTTCTAAAAAAAATGCGAAATGCCTGGAACATTAATTGGGGACATTGGATGTCCACATAAATGTTCTGGGAAAATGCGAAATGCCTGGTACATTAATTGGAATACACACTGGACATCCAAAAAAACACCCTGGATGTCTGCATAAATGTCCCGAATAAATACACAGGACATCCAAAACGCACCCTGTATGTCCCGGAATATTAATTGGAATATATGCGGGACATCCAGAAAGCGAACGAACATTGATTCAGGACATCCGAAAAGCACCCTGAATGTCCACATAAATGTTCCGGAAAAATGCGAAATGCCCAGGACATTAATTAGAATACACGGGACATCCAAAAAACAACCTGGATGCCCGCATAAATGTTCCGAAAAAAATGCGAAATGCCTGGAACATTAATTGGAATATATGCGGGACATCCAGAAAGTGCACAAACATTGATTCAGGACATCCAAAAAGCACCCTGAATGTCCACATAAATGTTCCGGAAAAATGCGAAATGCCCGGAACATTAATTAGAATACACATGGGACATCCAGAAAACATCCTGGATGCCCACATAAATGTTCCGAAAAAAATGCGAAATGCCTGGAACATTAATTGGAATATATGCGGGACATCCAGAAAGTGCACAAACATTGATTCAGGACATCCGAAAAGCACCCTGAATGTCCACATAAATGTTCCGGAAAAATGCGAAATGCCCGGAACATTAATTAGAATACACATGGGACATCCAGAAAACATCCTGGATGCCCACATAAATGTTCCGAAAAAAATGCGAAATGCCCGGAACATTATTTGGAATATATGCAGGACATCCAGAAAGTGCACAAACATTGATTCAGGACATCCGAAAAGCACCCTGAATGTCCACATAAATGTTCCGGAAAAATGCGAAATGCCCGGAACATTAATTAGAATACACATGGGACATCCAGAAAACATCCTGGATGCCCACATAAATGTTCCGAAAAAAATGCGAAATGCCCGGAACATTATTTGGAATATATGCAGGACATCCAGAAAGCGCACGAATATTAATTCAGGACATCTGAAAGGCACCCTGAATGTCCACATAAATGTTCCGGAAAAATGCGAAATGCCAAATGGGACATCTGAGAAACATCCTGGATGTCTGCATAAATGTCCCGAAAAAAATGCGAAATGCCCGGAATGTTTATTGGAATATATGCGGGACATCCAGAAAGTGCACAAACATTGATTCAGGACATCTGAAAAGCACCCTGGATGTCCATATATATGTTCTGGAACACTGCGAAATGCCTGGAACACTAATTAGAATACACCCAGGACATCCGAAAAACATCCTGGATGTCTGCATAAATGTTCCGAAAAAAATGCGAAATGCCCGGAATGTTAATTGGAATATATGCGGGACATCCAGAAAGCACATGGTCATTGATTCAGGACATCTGAAAAGCACCCTGGATGTCCATATGAATGTTCCGGAAAAATGCAAAATTCCTGGAACATTAATTAGAATGCATATGGGACATCTGAAAAACATCCTGGATGTCTGGATAAATGTCGCGAAAAAAATGCGAAATGCCCGGAACATTAATTGGACTATACACAGGACATCCAAAAAGCACCTTGGATGTTCCAGAACATGAATTGGAATATATATGGGACATCTGTTAATTGGAATATACACGAGACATGCAAAAAGCACACGAACATTGATTCAGGACATCCAAATGGCACCCTGGATGTCCATGTAAATGTTCCGAAAAAATGCGAAATGCATGGAACACTAATTGGGACATCTGCAAAGCATTCTGCATGTCCACAATTGTCTGAAGTTCCATTGTATAAACTGAATGCCATTGAATGACCTCATCTACAAGTGAACATCACCAAGTTCCGCAAAGTCAGAGAACATCAGCATTTTCTGCAAAGTGCATAAGGACCTATATGCTTAATATCTTGATTATCTCAGTGATTTTATACATTGCTTTTGGGTACTAGAAATTGGGGGAATAGCTCATGCACATCCTAGGAAAAGCTCATAGGCACTTTATGTTTCTTGACACAGGAAGGTTTTCTGTCCTAGAATATCATACCCTTCATTTCAAGACCCTCACATTGTCTCAGGAGATTTAACTAGAAACCAGCGTCCTATATGGACACCAGGTGTGCTTTTCTGACATCTTGTGGATATTAAATGTTATTCCCCAGACATTTTGCATTTTTTTTGGGACATCCAGAGTTGTTTTTGAGGTCCAGTGTATTTAAACTATTGCCCAGGAGATTTTGCATTCTCCCAGGACATTTATATCAATACCAGGGTTGCTTTATTAATGTCATATGGATGTTAAAACTAGTGCTCCATAGATTTCACATTTCTGGGACATTTATATGGACACCAGTGTTGCTTTTTTGACATCTTGTGGGTAAGAAAAGTCATGCCCCAGACATTTCGCATTGTTCCGGGACATCCAGGGGTGTTATTTGGATGTCCTGTGGGCATTCAAATCAATGCTTCG